GGACCCTTTTCATTTTTGAGATTAATCTGTATATTTTTTTGGGTCAATGACTGTGATCAGCAAGGTGTTTCACCATATTTTGGGTGCATTGTGGGACGAGTGGCAAACAGAATTAAAGATGGGAAGTTCACTCTTAATGGGGTGGAGTACCCCTTGCCCATCAACAAGCCCCCAAACAGCCTCCACGGTATGAATCTTCGATTCGATTTTGTTCTTGATCTGTTTGTTTTCTCATGTAATTTCCTTGAAAATTTCTTAATTCAATTTAATCTGATTCATCGAATGTTTTATAGATAAATTTAAATTTATGTTTCTTTGAAATTAATAACTAACCAGAAATTTTGTTAAATTGAATCACTGGAGATAATAATGTCAGATTTGTGTGCATTCTTCCTCGGTGTTTCCCCTTCTTCTTTTTTGGTATTAATCAGGCAAACAATGTAGAATTTTTAAGTTTGTAATTTAAAAAAAATGAAAGAGGAGAGATTTGGATTGAATTCATAATGTAATAAAAATCTGAGCAGACTCAAGTCTTGGTATTCATTTAGACAGAGAAACACCTATGGTTTATTTGATTATTGAAAGTGAAAGCAACCTGACCTGAAGAAGTTGTATTTTTATTTTTTTGTGATAATCAAAGAAGTTGTATTTTTGAGTTATGTAACTTTCATATATTCCGGATTAAACCTGCTCCAAACTACCTCGGATTGATAGTTATGATTGGTAGAGGGGATGGTTAAGAAAACTCCTCCAAAACAAATTTTTATTTGTAAGTTTGTAGTAGGGCTGAGTGTTGTTATATTTCAGACTTTACTCAGATCTTTAGTCCTTCAGTTTTCATTCTGCTCATTAAACAGAGGATGGGATTAGGCTTTTTCTGCCACTGCATCAAAAATCCTGATGAACTTAAATGCTCTTCCATATGCTCTCCTAATGTCATGAAGAAACCTGACTTGCTTCTACTTGTTTTTTGATTCTGTCATCTATTGAAGATTTCATCCTAGTTGCTGCTGATTGCTGCTTTTGTATCCCAGTCTTGCTAAACAATACACACAGCAAATTCAAAGCTGCCAACTTGACTTTCTTGTCTTTCAGTTATTGTGTTTGCAATCTGAACGAGTATTAACTTGAAATTAGCAGTTATTGCTTTTAGGATGGAAGGCGGAATGCTAATGAATATTTCTGCTGTTTATTCTTTGACACCCAGTTTAAGTGCAGATGGTTTCTTATAAAAATGCTAAGGAATCTGTTTTTATTCCTTCAAAATCTAGGTGGACACAAGGGCTTTGACAAGAAGTTTTGGGAGGTAGCAGAATATAAGAATGGTGAAAACCCATCCATTACTTTCAAATATCACAGTTCTGATGGTGAGGAAGGTAAGAAAGGCAAAAACCTATCCATTACTCATATGAGTGCATCAACTTTTTCTCTCTGTAATTTCAATGTTTTGCTATTGCAAGGTTACCCGGGAGATCTCTCTGTGACTGCAACTTACACTCTTGTCTCTAGCACAACAATGAGACTTGACATGGAAGCAGTGCCTAAGAACAAGGCAACACCTGTTAGCTTAGCTCAGCACACCTACTGGAACTTGGCAGGCCACAACTCAGGAAGCATACTGGACCATTCAATTCAGATTTGGGGTTTGCACGTCACTCCTGTGGATCAGTATACGGTCCCAACGGGTGAAATCATGCCAGTTAAAGGCACTCCTTTCGACTTCATCTCAGAAAAGAGGATTGGTACATCAATACATGAGGTTGGCTTAGGGTATGACCATAACTACGTTATTGACTGTGGGGAAGAAAAGTCAGGGTTAAAACATGCTGCAAAACTGAAGGACCCATCAAGCTCGAGAGTCCTTAACTTGTGGACCAATGCCCCAGGGATGCAGTTTTACACTGGTCACTATGTTGATGGAGTTGTTGGAAAAGGAGGTGTTGTTTATGGAAAGCATGCAGGCCTATGCTTGGAGACGCAGGGCTTCCCAAATGCCATAAACCAATCAAACTTCCCTTCAATTGTTGTTCAGCCTGGTGAGAAGTACAGCCATACCATGTTGTTCGAGTTTTCGGTAGAGTAAGTTTCTTTTGAGGGTGTGTGGTAGAATAAGGTTTGCTTTCTGTACTGCATGTTTAATTAGAAGTATTGTCAATAATAATGTTGAGAGACTTGTGTGCAGAGGCTGATTACTAATAAAGGGAACTGTTTATGAATTATCAGTGTTTGAGTAATTTGTTTTTATATTTACACTCTTTTTCTTTTTTGATATTTATCCTGAATATTTGGGATTGAATAAGTTGACTAGTCAGGTTGGATACTCTGTGTTATAAAACAATTGTCGAAGAAAAGTTACTCACAAACCAAACATATTTCAAATTAAATAGACTTAAAAACTAAAAATATTGGAGTGCTAGACTAACAGCTCTAGTAAGCAACTCCTGTAGCAAAACTCAAAACATGAAGAAACCCAGCAATACCAAGGAAATCACAGAAGGTGTAGATGTGCCACCGAAGGAAACTATGTGTAACACATCTCTTTTGGATATTCTCAGTCCCACAAGAGTTCTGAAATAAAAACTTTGTGAAAAATAGTGCCATAGAAGTAAGACATTTCTAAAGTATAAAATAATCTCCTTAAAAAAGCCTACTTGCCTATCATTTTAAAACTATAAGTAAAGAAAAACAAATAGTTTGTAAAAAAAAATTAATTTAGCAAAAAGTATCTTACAAAAAGATATTAAAGTGCTCATAGTTGTGAAATAACTTATGCTGAGTCCATTCATTAATTTACACAAAAATAAAAACAGAACGATTGTTTTGGTAACATATCAATTTGCTTTTACATTAAATACAATGAGGTTTTAGCTTCTACATATGATGGGCATATGTGACATATACTAAAAGCTCTCAAACTTGGTGACTATTGCTTCAATCTATTGATTTGAAATAAGGAAAAATAACATGGGCTAAAAGCCCAGTAAATATTAAGTTAAAATTATAAACTTAGATCTTAAGATCCTTAAACCTACACACTTAAAAGGCATAATATATAATTAAGCCAAGTTACATAATATTACAAGTCTTATTATTTAAATAACAACTTAGCATGTTACAGAATAATTCATAAACAATCAAATATGTCAAAGAAAAGCCAATGATAATTAATTCAAATTCATAACATAAAGCTATATGCTCACAAATGGAATATCACAATAAGAATGCATATAATAAAAAAATCACATAATGCTATTTGCAGTTCATTGATATGTGTTAACAACATTTGATGGGAATCAAGACGACAGCATATCTACCACGTTATGTGATCCATTACACATCCAAGGAGGTCTAGTCACGCAAGCTAGAGCTAAGAAGATACGTGAAGCTTTAAATGGCCTTATTGAGCAGATCTGGGTTGAAAACAACATACAACAAGCAAATCGAAGCTTGGATGATTATCAAGGCATGATAAACGTCATTCAGGTTCAAGAGAAGCTTAATTGAGGTCATTTATGCTAAATTACACAGTTT